AGGGTTTCGTGCAACAAAAATGGTTGTTGTGTTGCGCCATTCAATATAAAAAAAAAAAATTGATGTGGTTAAATACGCTTTTTTATTAAGTTGAAAAAACTGCATATTTCGCCAGCCAGAAAGTGTATACATAAACCTTGTACCTTGCTATAAGATTTATTTATAAAAACGGTATATGCTTATGGTGTTATTCATAAAAAATACAGTAACATTAAAAAAAAATCGATTTGTTTACTTTTTAAGAATTTTTGTATAACATTTAACTTAACTTTTTGTTCACCCATCTCTTTTTCTGTTCACTATTGTGAAATTTTTCTTTTCCCTATTACTCATTTGACTGAGTTTCAATCATGATACAAAAAAGAAGGTAGTTCCATTTAATGACATTCGTTGTTGTTTTTAACCTTTACTTGACTTGACTTGACTTTTGACTTTTAATAAAATTATGACGTTTCATTAAATTCATGCTACATGATCACGAGCAGTAACTATTTTTTTTTTAAGCAGAAGATTCCATCAGTCCACTCAAAGATATGGAATATTATGAATCTGAAAATTAATGCATAATTTCAAAAATTGGTTTGACGAAACTAGGTTTCAGAACGCATGAAGAAAGTGATCAAAATTATACTTATGGTAATTGCTTATCGGAGGGCGGTCTGCACAGGCCGATTTCAAGTTTTTTGCATACATTGGAAATTTTAAATTCGAAATTTGTTGAAGTAAAGGGTGATAAGCTAACACAAAGCCTAATTTTTTGCAAAATCTGATGAGAAATTTAAAAGTAAATTTGGACCAAAATATTCAGCCCTATCACGAATGTAAACAAATATTCCAAAAAAGTATAAAGCAAAACAAAAACAATTTTTCCCAATTTGTGTTTGTTGTGCACTTAAATTATGGGAGCAATTTACTCACATGGAATTGGCGATTATAAAAAGGTTTTATTTGGAAAGAACATTCTTTAGAATTTAGCAAGATTGCATTCAAAATAAGAAAATGAAAAAATAACAACATAATGCTTTCGTGATTTTTATTTTTATTATAAAATAAAAAGAACAATTCCGATGAAGTCTCCTTTAACATTACACATTTTATATGTTTTTAATAAAAAAAGGTGCGAACCACGTAAGTAAAAGAATTACCAAGCACTGATAATTATTTTTGATTTGAAATAGTATTAAATTGGTACAAATTTGGGAAAGAAAATACGCCGATTTATTGTTTTAATATTATAAAAGTGGCAAGACCGTTGAGGATACTCACAATTTATGAAACTTCAAAAAATTTTATTATCCGTCAAAAGTTGTTTATTAAAACTACCTTCTTTTTTGTATCATGGTTTCATGATTCAATAATAAAAGGTTTGCCAAAAAAAACAGTTTTCTCGCTCCCTCTTGACAAAATCGGCTCCCTTAACAAAGCACTGTGTGTGGGTTCGTGTGTGTGTGCAAAGCTTTTGTTAGGGAGCTAAGGGAGTGTCAAAACTCTAATGTCACTAATGAACAAACCTTTAATTATTGAATCTTAGGTTTCAATTACACCCAGCAAAAATCAAAATATTTTATAAGTAATTTGTTGACCGCTTTGCAACGGCATTTAAAGCTTTTTTTGCTCAAATTGAAAAGATTTCCTCTTTCGCACAATTTTCTCATGCTTTTTTATCGTAGTTTTTATTCTGTTGACATCTAAATTGCCATACATTTTATGACGTTGCCAATACATTGTTTTCCGGCGTTTCCTCTGTGAACTTTTATAACTACATTCATAAAAATATTACTAATTTTTGTTTCTAATTTTTTCCCATCTTCCTATTGCTGAATATCAAAAAGGAATTAATAAATAATAAAAACTTAGTTACAATTTTAGTGAATGGTTCTTGCAAATAATTCAATTTCTTGATCGCCGGCGGGAACTAATAAACTTTTTTGGCAAAACCAAAACAGAAGGGAAGGAAAAATAGTTGTTCATCTACGATTTGACTGAAACGCGCCACTGATCACTAAATTTGTAAAGATCAAATTTTTTCACTTAATTGTTCAGCCCTATTCTGCATTTCGATTACGTTCCCGCATTTCGCTCCGCAACAATCGTAATTTGGTATTCTGAGTTACGATCGAATGAAAGTAGAAGAAGAAAAGCGAAAACATCTTCGAAATCAGCTGGTTACCCATGATTCAATAATACAAGGTTCTATAAACTGACAGTTGTCTCTCTTGCACAGCTCCCTTAGCAGTGGCACCGCGTTGCTTCTTTGCAAATTTACTTGGAAAAAGTGTAGCTTTGCTGTGAAATAGAAGTATAAGCTTTCGTGCAATATGTTTATTTGTATATGCATATGAAGCACATTTACATAATTAGGTCCATTCCTTATCTTTTCGGACTAAAATCTGAAAAGTGTCAAAATGCAAGAGCGTAAGCGAAATGCGCTCACTAAAAGAGAATAACAGGAAAAAGTAAAGGAACGCAAAAAACCAAATTTTTAGTCCAAAGAATGGCAACAACAAAACTAACGTCAAATAAGAATAGAAATGTATGTACAAAACACATTCACACAAGCACAAGCACAATAAACACTAACTCTATCAATTATTTTTTGTCTTCTTCCACTTTTAATTCACTTTTTTTACTTTTTATAATATTCTCACTTTTTGTGCATCCTTTAATTTAAGTTGAGTTTGACACTTTTCAAGATTTTGCCAGAAAAAATTCTTCTGACTACTTCGGACTGAAGAGAGTCACTCTCACTGAGTTTTGCTCTCTCGTTTTTGCTGTCATTTTCGAGTTAAAGAACGCTTTTTGGACTAAATCTGACTACTTCGGACTTTTTCCGACTATTTTTGGGAGATAAGGAACGCAACTACTGATGAAAACATAAATTGTTTTTAAATTGGATGTTTAGATAAATCTCATAGTAGTTGTACCCGATCGCACTTGTGCACAAACAAATCGAGATAGATATAGAATAATGTATACATAAATGATCAGAATGAAAAGAAAAATCGATTAAGCGGTGACTGTCTGTCCGTCCGTCTGTGCACACGATAACTCAAGTAAAAATTGAGATATCGTAACGAAACTTGGTACGTGCACTTCTTTCGGGCGTAGGACGGACGGTATTGGAAATAGGCAAAATCGGACAATAACCACGATTACCTCCCATATAACGGTAATTTTCAGAAACACGAAAACTGCGATATTTTAGTAACTACTGAAGATTATTCACTCAAAATTGATATTTACAATAATTTTTAGACGAAAAATAAAAATATTATAAATTTTTAGAAAATGGGCGTGGCCACGCACACTTATAGTTACATTTGTATATCTTGGTAGCCGCAGCACCAATTTCCTCCAAACTTTGCACAGTTGTTGGCTTTGGCACAGCATACCAAATGGCCGAAAATTTTTAAAATCGGACAATAACTACGCCCACATCCCATATAACGGTAATTTAGAGAAATACGAAATACTCGATAAATCAGTAAATATTAAAGGTAATTTATTCAAAATTGATCTTTGCAACAATTCTTTATCAAGAAATACATGTCATAAAATTTTGAAAAATGGGCGTGGCACCGCCCACTTATGATCACATATATGTATCTCGGTAACCGTTGTACCAATTTATACCAAACTCGGTATGTTATTGTGCTTGTCCCATAAAAGTAAAACGTTGAAAATTATTGAAATCGGACTAAAATTACGGCCACTTTTCATATAAATGATATGTTTGCATGCAAAGAGAAAATTAGTGAGAGTCCTGGTTTATATTTGGTTCACTGTAATTCCGAAAAGTTTTGTGAGTATGCGTATGTATGTATGTATGTACATATTTAAATTTTTTAGGAGCGAACGCAATCTTTCTTTGAGATAGACTGCCAGAGGGGAGATGAAACGTTTTTTAAGAACAACTTTAGCATGAGTCTAAGTATCTTCTATAAATTATGTGAGCTTCTACCAGACCTACGAAAAAAGGATAAAAACATGCGTGAAGCCATACCTTTGGAGAAACGGATTGCCATAGCCCTATATGCGCTTGGGTCATCAGCAGAGTATAGAACAATTGCAAATATGTTCGGCGTGGGAAAAGCAACTGTTTGCAAAATCTTATTGAGCTTTTGTACTGAACTTTGGAGAGTTATGGCACCAATGTATTTAAATAACTTCCCATTTACTACACCAAAAATTGAGTTCGAAGCACTTGGATTTCCCCAATGCATGGGAGGATTTGGTAAGGATTTTATTTTTTTTTTTGTTATTATTACAACTTTACTGTTTATTGTTTTTAGTATGTTATGTTAGCAGCCCACATAGACAAACCTATACTTTAACTGCCGCTACCATTATATTGCCTGTAAAAACATTGCGCTTCATTTTTACAGATGGTTGTCACATTGAAATCCAGCCACCTAAGGAAGATGCTACAGACTATTTCAATTACAAGGGATGGTATTCAATCGTGCTGTTAGCACTAGTAGTTTTAAATTTCATAGTTATTGCTTGAAACACAATACCCGGCGAACGGCGAAGTTCGCCGATTTGGGCGATGCCGTCGTTCACCGTTCGCCCTGCTATTTCGCCTACTTTAACATAATTAGAGCGGTAGCGAAAACAGCTGATACCATTTCGTCGCACTTGTAAGTTAGGTTACCATATTTTGAAAAACGAAACCATATTTAGAAATGATGAAATGATAACAAATATAAATATAAGGCAATTGGGAATTATTATAAATTATTTTATTTTAAGCCAGATTTAACGAATCGATCACTGTATTTTTCAACCATCAAAAATAATTCGTGTTATATGCTGTTTTCTTCTAAATCTTTGAAAGTAAAAAAAAACATACGGCCACCTTTGGCATGTACTGCCGTCATCGCCCAGCAGAGCGATAGAAATAAATCAATCGCCACGAAATGTCGCCGAGCGAACTTCGCATTTCGCTTTGGCTGTGTTCAATTTCATATGCCGGCGGGTGTTCTAATTTTGACAGCGGTAGTTTCGCCCTGGTGCGTTCGCCGCTCGCCGGCATTGTGTTTCCTCGGTATTTCCTGATGTCGTTTTATTTATGTGAGCTCCGCTAACCCAGGACGTTGCAACGATTCGCGAATTTTCCAATCCTCTTCTTTAAACCAATACTTTAATCAATGTGATCTTCTGAGCGATTTAAAGAAAAACATTTCAGGTGTGGATGTGCCAGTATTTATTATAGGTGACTCTGCATTTCGTTTACGTGACAAACTCATGAAGCCATATCCTTTCCACGTTTGGCAAAGCCGCCAACAAAAGCACATCAACTATGCACTATCCAAGTCCCGTAGAGTAGTGGAAAATGCATTTGGGCACCTGAAAGCACGCTTTAGGCGCATTGGAAAAGGCATTGATAATTCTTTAAAAAATGCTTGCGCTATAATTTTGTCGTGTTGCGTTCTTCACAATTTCTTAAATGAAAATAATGACGCGATAAATGAAAATTGGATGCAAGCCTTACAAACTGCAGAAGCAAACCGCACATACCCTCAGCACGTTGCGTCACTAACGGAGCTAAGCAATAACCCAGAAGGAATAAGGAACGCAATTGCTACTCTTTTGTGTAAGTTTTTTTATTAAAGCTTTTATTTATAAGAGAAATTCGTATTCATTTAAATCAACCAAACGTAGTATTCCATAAATTACATAGTAATTAATTCATTTAGATCACAAATTTATTTTTTTTTTCAGAAAAATGTGCACATAAACGAAAAGTATCATTCCATAAATTACATAGTAATTAATTCATTGTGATCACACCTTTAATATTTCTTGGCAGATAAATGTGCACATAAACCAAAAAAAAAGGATTCCATAAACTATATAGTAATTAATTCATTGAGATCAAATCCAAAATTTAGTCAAATGAAAAATAATAGGAACACGACATTTTCACCACTTTTCTCTTGATTGAGTCAAAAGTGGTCATAATGTCCGGTCCCTATTATTTTTCATTTGACTATATTGTAAATTTTTTGGGATCTAGTATTTGGCTTTGAGCAACTGTAAATACATGTCCTTAATTAGACGACTTTCTTAAAGGACTTACTGTCTTTTCAAAAAATCTATTAGTGCATTTTGCTCTTCGGCTTCTTTTTATACATATGATTTCAAAATTTATTTTTTTTCTTCCTCAATGGATATAAACCTTTCCGAAGTACTTTTAATGTCGTCTTGGATTACCTCAATTGTTTTTTCAAATCTTTTAAAATAAATAGCTAATCCCTCTTTCTTTCTTACTGCAGCGGACGACGACGGTGTCGATGATGACCAGGGAACGGATTTTTAGGACCTAAAAACCTATAAAAAAGGCAAAATAAAATAACGAAATACGCTGAAAAAGGCAAAATAAAATAGCGAAAAAGGCAGGAAAAGGCACTAGGTATTGCAAAAAAAAAGCAAAATAAGGCACTAAAAAAGACAGAATATACGAAGAACAATAAAAAAATACATTTATTTTAGAAATGTTTATATTACAAGTAAAAAGAGCAAAACTATGAACTACATAGTTTCATTATATGAAAAATTTGTACTTTGAATCTTTGACTATTTTATCCTTTCGAGTTTCTAACTCATAAAACTTTAATCTGTACAGTTGTAGTAACATTGAACCACAAGATGCATTTTGAAGTTTTCTGGCAGCATTTTCATTCGATTTTCGCGAAGAATGTACTAAATGTGCGCTCGACGTAAGTTAATACAAGTGGAGCCCAATTTAAATATGGAACGTTTGAAACGTTCATATTATCAGGAATAAGGGCGTTTTCCTCGCCCTGTACAATTTTATCCACACCCCTTATGGTCTCCAAGCCTACGTTAGCTGAGAAAACGGCTTTGAATTTTTCCAACACCAATTTGGCAAGAGGTCCCTGCGCTTCTATAAGCCGCATGGGCATGCGTATATTTTATAATCTTTAAAAAAAATTGTAAATGCCATAATCACTTTTTTAAAGGTAGAAAAGTTAAAAAAAGGCAAATATCTTTAAAAAGGCAACATCAAATGTGTATATATGGAATCAGGGAAAGCTAAACCGTGGACATTCTTAATCGAATATACCCTATCTCTTTAGCAGAAAAAAGGCAATTTCCATAAAATCAGTTCCCTGGTGATGACAATTGTTCTGCAATTCCTGGAGTAGTGACGAACGATTGTGATGGCATTGGTGATGCCGGTGTATACGGTGACGGCAGCGGCGAAGCTATAGACGTTGACGGTGATGGCAGCGGTGAAGTCGTAATTGATGATGGTTGCGATGCAATGTTCGAATTCATGTCATAAAAAAATATTTGTAGGGTCGTTATTATAAGCTAATATATTTTGAATCATTTTTGTTTAAGGGACATTCCGTGTGCATATCGACACCTGAGTGGAAGATCGACAATCTCGGCAGCCATTTTCTATAACGCCCTAACTCAGAAAACTTTTCAAGAACGCCTTGTTTCAGAATTTTATTGAAAAACAGCCTATCTCAGAATTTGGTTTAATAACGCCCCTTCTCAGAATTCGGGTCAAAAATGCCCTATGTCAGCTGAAAATACAGCGAAAATGTCCTGAGATAGGGAATTTTCGAATCGCCTGCTGAGATAAGGCGTTTTTGAACCGAATTCTGAGATACGTCGTTTTTCAATAAAATTGTAAGATAGGGTGTTCTTGAAAAGTTTTCTGAGATAGGGCGTTTTTGAACTGGCTGCCGAGGTAGGTCGGTCTTCTACTGAGGTGACGATATGTAAGTAAAATTCGAAAACGACAAAAATTGTAAATTATCCCTATTCGACATTGATCTCATTCTGGAGACAAATGTCTCACCAGTCACAATGTATGTAATGGCCCTTAATCTACTTTGCAAATTAAAAAATATTTCAACATGTATGCTTTTATAATATTAAATGTTTCAAAAGAAAAACTTGAAGCAAGGCGCATCAATACAAGGTGGTGTTGATTGATCAGCTGATTGGATATTTTTGTCTCTACACTAGTACAGGAGAATGTCATCCAAGACGAAGCGGCGAAACAAAAGAAAATGATGAAAGTTATCTCCTATTCCCTTTCGTTTTGACATCCTCCTGTACCAAAAAGCAATAACAAAATACACGGGACTTTTACTTATATGCAATCACCACCACCTTGTATAGATGCGCCTTGACTTGAAGTTACAGTTCAGTTGTGTGTCAACAAGAAAATAACATTTTCTTGGATTTTCCAAAAATAAATTTTTTTAAGAAAAACTAAATATATAACGTCGCCGCCGCGGTAAAAGTTGTTAATTCTTTTTAGTAAAATTTTACATTAGGGCAAAAAACTGTAGGTCTTTTGTACTTAATCATATATTTATGGAGTTAGCAGCTTTTCATTGAAAAAATAAGTGTTTATGAAATTAGCAGGTAATATTTTAAATTTTCAATAATTTCACCACCATGTATGTACTTATGTAAATATATTTTCCCCAACAAGGAGTCAGAAGCTTTTACCGCGGCGGCGAAGATAATTTTTTTTTATCGAGGCTACATTTAACACAGTCAAGCATGATACAAAAATAGAAGGTAGGTTCATTTATTGACATTCGTTGTTGTTGCCGACCAATTTTAACAAGTTTATGACATTTAACTAAAATCATGCTGCTAAAAAATATATATACATAAATATAAACACGAAAATGTGTTTTTGCGACAAGAATTATCCACGTGAGATGAAAAGTACTGCAGCTTCATTTTATAAAATTTTTGTTTATAGAAAAATGCATTAGTAAGACAGTTCGCTTATTTGTACAATGCTTTTGGTTTATCGTGTTCAAACGCGTGACCCGAATCAAACAATTTTAACATATGCGTCTAGCCAAAGGATTAAGCTTTAATTTAAAACAAACATTTCGGTTTGAAATATACACTTTTTTAAAATTTCGATGTGGGTTCTGCGCAAAAACACTGGATGGCGCAACCCGAGTTGGACTGATGAGGTGTTTTTTTTTCTAGCGCGACCGAAGGCCATCAACGCGGAAAGGAGTTTTGCGCAAAAATACTGCTGACGAGTTTAATTTTTCTTTGCGAAAATGCTAATTTCGCCCCATTTTGCAATGGCTCCTCGGGTGCCTGTAGAAGGGGAGGAAAAGGATGGCTTTTCTTAAATTTTATACTATGCTCTTTTTAATGAGTGTAGTTTTAGGTGACACTCCCCTTTTCCGTCCGCTCCTCACCAAAACAGCATTGTACAAATAACCGAATATTTCCCACGCACAACATTAAATCCTCTGATGTATTGTTTGATTGCTATAAATGAAATGCAAAAAAATTTATTCAAGATCAAACTGTTATATTTTTACACCTAAGAATTACCATTTCTGAGTAGGTATACCGCGGAAACCACATATCGATTTTCAGCTTTATGCAAATTATTGCAATCTTGAATATCGTAACTTGACCGAGCTAATTTGGGCTCCATGAGCATAAGGAATATTTTTATCAAATCGTTAATTAAACAATTCATGTCCTTACGATTTATACTGTTGAATACTAGATCTTCCAAGTTGAAACTCTTATAAGGAGCCAATAAGGCGTGCATGTCTGCGGGTGAGCCACCCGCGGGTCCAATCTCTTGTTTCTCCTTTCGGCGGAATACAATGTGTGTAAATTATTAAAAACATCGAATAAAAGGGATTGCAATAAACAGTACTATAAAAAGTACACCATAACCTGGAGCTTTGCATTCCAAGTGACGAGATGTATGTTGTTATTAGTTTAGGGAAACGAGTTCATGGGAACGAAACCATAACCTTATTTTGTGCAAATAATAATTTCTTACCGGTACCGTGCACTCAAGTTATGCATTGTCGTCTTCAGTTCCTTCACCGTGTACTTATACCCGTGCTTCTCCAATTCCTGCACCATTTCCAGAAGGATTTGGCCGTTTTTCGTACAGCCACGCAACTCCGGCATTTTCTCTCCCCATATCTCTATCACCGCCCTTTCACCGGCCTGGTCCCATTTGCTGGCACTTTTTCTAGTTGCTGGAAAACTTGCCTAAATAAACTAAACTATTTGATGATAACTTACATTTTTTCTCCGTCTTCGATATTTGCAGTACACAAAAATAACAATAAATAGCGAAGAACAAGAACGAGAAGTAGCATTCCCACGACAGCCGGTTCTACGTACCGGAATGACTCGGGTTTCACCCGACCAAGGGCTGTTGTTTCGGCGATCTAACCCCGTTTAGGTCGGCGAAGTATCTTAGAAGTTGTCCGTCCATAGGGCTACAATCACTACGCATTCTCCTACTCAGGGCTGGCATCGAGTCAAACCCTGGGCCAGAAACATACACCTGCTGTGTATGCCGAAGACGATTTCACCACAACTCCACCTCAGTCAAGTGTAATGCCTGCGAGGGGTGGAGTCATCTCAGGGTCTGCTCGGGACTACGGACACACAGACAGTGGACCACGTCGTACGTGGCCCCCTGTTGCTCAAACAGAGCAGCCTCCACGGCTAACCATAGTCCGCCCGAGCAGCCCCACACACTCACACAGCAGCCACACACAGTCACCACAACACAACAACATAATAACACCACAGACCGTACCACAGCCACTATACACCACATAACACACACAACCGCACCACCACCCACACGCCGCCGCCAACAACTCCTGGTTCCCCCTACAATCTGCACGGTATGTCAGACCAGGATATTCCGTAATGTGACATCAGTCAAGTGCAACACCTGCCTTGGCTGGTGCCACTTTAGGGCATGCTCAGGTCTGCGTACCACGCGAGATTGGACGGGAACTTCGAGGGCCCGTGTTGCGCTGCTCGGTCGCAGACTCCAATTGCGACGCCCCCCACCACCACCACAGGGCGGCAATCACCTCAGAAGCACACACAGCCAACGGCGGCAAGAACATACACTTCACTTACACCCCACATCACGACACGTCTCCCGAACCACATGAAGCTCCTTCAATTTAACTGTAACGGGCTACAGAGCAAGATTGAGGAGATAACCGTCTTCATGTGTCGGCATGGTATATTAATAGCTGCGGTCCAAGAGACGAAGTTGCACAGCAATTCAACTTTGTTGAATTGCGCCGGGTACAACGTGCACCGTCGAGATCGCGAGCGAGATAATGGCGGTGGCTTAGCGTTCATCACGCACCACACCGTGCAGTATCGTCTTATCGAAGCAGACATCGACCGCAGGGATACCACCCTAGAATGTCAGGGCATCGCTATCCGGTCAGGCGATGTCGAGCTCCAAATATTCAACATATACATACCCCCTGTCACCTGCTGCCCGGCAGGATATCACCCTGATATAGGTGCGCTCCTCAGAGGTGAAAA